CTCAGTATCACTGCTGTGTGCCTGAATCAGAAAAGAGACTGCAGTAAATTTTGTGATGGCAGACATAATGGGATTATTTGAACACTGAAGAAGAATATTCTGTATTTTCTACACTTCTTTTCTTCAATACATTCATTATTTCAAATTGTAAAATAGTCTCAATGTTTCATGCCATGGCATGCTCCCTATTGAGTAAGTGAAACAAGTCATAACGTGTTGAATGTAAAGATGCCATATTTTTCCTGATTTTTGTATGCAACTTTCCCTTTTCCTGCTAAAATTGTGGTAGTCTTCAGTGTAGTTTCCAGTACAAATATTAGTCTGTAGTTGACCATTATGCTATTCTAAGTCCGTGTTTGGGTTTTCTTTTTCCCTATAAAAATGCTGCTTTGTTAAAATCGAAGTCTCTTTAATCCCTGAGAGTCAGAATTTTCTGATGTCAGCAGCCAAGCTTGCTTGAAAGCTTGTGGTAATATCCATTTCAAACGAAGCAGAGAGTACCTGCTTTGCATACCAGGACATCCACAAACAGAATATCTGAAAAGCAGAAAAGTTGCATCTTGATTTAAAAATATATATATATATTAATTAGTTATTGCTGGAGTAAAAAGATTGACTGACTAGCTTTTCTGAGTTACATTCTTAATTTATTTGAATGTACTTCGTTTCACTCTAGTAGAAAATGGAGAGACAGAAATGTCCCCTGAAGAATCATGGGATCACAAAGAAGAAACATGTGAAGCAGAGCTAGGAGGTGGCCCATCAGGAGATGCAGGGCATACTGAGGAGAGTGCCCAGGAAATGATGGAGGAAGAGGAGGAAATACCAAAACCTAAATCTGTAGTAGCACCACCAGGTGCTCCTAAAAAAGAACATGTAAATGTAGTATTCATTGGACATGTAGGTAAGTTACAGATAAACAACTGCAGGGCAAGGGATAGAGCTTTCTGATAACGTGAATAATAAGTTCTTGTATAACTCTGTCCTTTAATGAATCCAAATTGTGACTTTTGCTCTCCCTTTCTAGGTTAACAAGTTACTAGAATTGGCAGAATAATTTTTAGATAAGATTGACAAATATTAGTAATATATTTCTTTGGAATTTAATAAACTAGGTTATTGTGTACAATTTTGGCTGAAGATTTGAATCTGTGTGGCAGAGGCTTTACTTGCCTAGAATAATTAGGTTGCATTAATAACCCCATCATAGATGAATGATCATTGATAGCTCTTCCAGTATCATATTCTGATACTTCTTAATATAAAAGTTAATATCTGTGAAATACCATTTTCTTTCTTTTACAAAAATGCTGCTGCTGTTCAATTTTATGACATTCTTTAGAATGACCAGGGCTGGCCTCTCGCCCACTGCATAGCTGGTGCTGTGTTGTAGGTTAGGTGAAGGCTATCCGAAAACCTCTCCTGCAAAAAACCAAAAAGTCCTTTGCCAGAGAATGTTTTCTTTTAATCCATTTCTGGTAAAACCATACCTGAAATATTGGTGCTACACAACCAAAATGTTGTTAACAAATTGGAGAATTCAGAGAGAAGCAACAAAAATGGAGGAGTTGACTAGAAATTGAGAAACACTTATATGCCACTGTCCCACTTTAAGTGTTTTTAGACAATCAAAAAAAGTGAAGGATGAAAGTATGAAGGATGGACAATAATTATTAAGGGTGATAGAGGAAAATACAGACTGAATATATTTTACTGACAATAAAATCTTAAATTAGGGAATAATCTTCCAAGAGAAGTGGGAGAAGCTCCACTGGGGCATTTTAAAACTAAACAGGACAAATTACTAAAAAAATGTCCTACAAAACAATGCTATATTGTCATGAAATGGGTTTGATGGACCTAACTTTCTCTCTTTTTTTTTTTTAATACTTAAAACTAAATGACTTTGTAAAGTATCTTTGTTTTGTATGTTTGTTAGATGCTGGTAAATCAACCATTGGAGGACAAATAATGTACGTAATTTTAAAAAAATAAGATTTCTTTGAACTGTTACAATCTTTAATATTGTGATTTATAACACTTGGGAAGTAAATAGTATGATTGATGGTTTTAGTGAGCATAGACTTTTTTTTTAATGAACTATCACTTCAGATCTATGAATTTAGTAAGTCATTGTCTTTGATTTGTTAGCTTCAGTGTTCCAGTCTTATTGCTCAGGATTTGCTTAACGAAAGCATAACTGTACAAAGGCATATTTTACTAAATAACAAAAAAATTCTTTAGAATATTAGATACAATTTTTTCTGAGAGCTGTTTAAAACTGATGTTCAGATTGATTCATCCCTTGTTAAATTTTGTCCCATGTGAGATTTTTAAAACTTTTAATTTGAATATGATCAGCCTCTGATATTAGAATTATCATTCATATATTGAAATCCAGATATTGATTTTAAATCATACCAGATTATAAATTGTCAACTTTCTTTATATACATTAAAACATTTACGGAACAAATCTGGAATAACTTTCCCATAGGAGAAGTTTCTTCATAAGGCCAGCCCTTTAGAAGTTGGCTTTCACTATGCAGCACAATGTCACTCTCTTAAGCCACAAGAGTATATTTTAATATCTGTCACTGGAAGCACTCATAATTCACTTAGGTGTTAATTTTTAAAAATTATGTGAAGATACTTTGTATCAATTAGTTCCATAAGTTCTGCAGTTTTTTATTTTTGTTATGCCTTTTTAAATTTTGTTGAATGTCCCTTTTTATTAGAAAAAGTAAATAGTGTCTGTTGTACCTTCTCTCAGCCATTAATTATTCTGAATGCTGCTATAATTTCCCCACTTATTAGTTTCCTTTCTAAATTAAACAGATCCACTCTTACCATTACAAGATCAGATTGATGCTTTAAGGAAAAGCAACATAACTGATATGTTAGTTTTATATAAAGAGTATCTAATATAGATCTCTAGGCTTTTAATATGCAAAAGATCTGTGGGAAAACGGCAATTTTCCTTTCCTTGCCAATTTAAGAAGGCGCTGGTCAAAAGTATCTGTCTTCAGACTTCACCCAATTTAGCATTTTTCTTTTATGTAAACTTATCATATGCCAAGGTTTCTGATTTGTATTACCATTTTGTAGTTCTATGGGCAGTGACTCAGTCACTTATGATCTGGTTTGGTTTAGAATATAATGCTTTTAGTTGCTGATACCTCTTTTCTTTTCCTTTTCTCCTTTTATATTTTGTGTCTCTTGTACGTGGTTTTACTGTTGTGTCTAATATTTATTTGTTTTAAGATTAACAAATTGGATTAGTCAATACTTCCAATCTTCTGTAACTGTTCTGTTCTAACTATGGATGTCTGTGTATGCATATATTTTCCTTTAAACGCTTGTTTTAAAATAATCCAGAAAAATAGTACTTGCTTGATTAAAAGACATTCTGAATTAAGACAGTTCCTTGGGAGGTCATGTCTGTGAAATGAATATATTAGATTTTGTACCCTCTTTTAAAATTTATTAAATTGAAGCATTTTAAAATGCAATATACAACGTTCTATTTTTTTTGTTTTTCATTATGTCATTTGTATACCTTTTAAACTGTAGAGCTCATATAGTAGGTAGGCTTATGCCTTGTTTGCTCTTTACTTTCTTAACAGATAGCCATGCCTTACTTTTTGAATTATGGAATTGCTCTTCTGAGAGCAGATATTCCATTGTTACCCTTTTCATACCGTACCTCAGATCTACAGAGTAATCGGATCATATACTCCAGGGGTTCTCAAACTTCATTGCACCACGACCCCCTTCTGATAACAAAAATTACTACATGACCCGGGGGGTGGGGGTGGGGGCAAAGCGTGAGCCCACCGCCCCAGGCGGGGGCCCAAGGGCTTCAACCCCAGGCAGGAGGACCTGTAACCTGTGCCCCACCATCTAGGGCTGAAGCCCTCAGGCTTCGGCTTCATCTCCAGGCAGTGGAGCTTGGGCTTTGGTTTCGGACCCGGATCCCAGCAAGTCTAATGCCAGCTCTGGCAACCCCATTAAAAGGAGGTTGTGACCCACTTTGGGGTCCCGACTCACAGTTTGAGAACTGTTGATATACTCCATTAGAATAGAAACTTAGCTGCCATGTAGTTAATGTAAAATGTCTTCTTTTTTTTCTTCCCCATGCCCCAGGTACTTAACAGGAATGGTTGACAAAAGAACACTTGAGAAATATGAAAGAGAAGCTAAAGAGAAAAACAGAGAAACCTGGTATGAATCTTACCTATACCATGGCATCCTTTTTTAGCTTCTGAGAGGAGACTGTTTTGAAGTTTTCCTTTTAGTATTTAGTTCCTTTTGATTTTTCCAGCCAGGGCTTTGATGTGTGCCACATTATGCAGTGCATTCCATGCTGGAGCAGATTTTGCTTCCATATCATACAGAATATTGCCTTAATTTGTGGTGCTGCACAGTAGCAGCTGACTGGTAGGGGTGATGGAGGAAGAAAACCATCCTCAGAGAGCCAGGGAACCCTTCTGTCTTCCTGCCCTTCCCCTATAAGTACTGTATGAAAGAGGTGTCAGAGAAAGAGGCTTACTGTTGTGGGGGATAGGGAGGGAGGGAGGTAGCAGGCTGGATCACAAAACTTTTCACCTAATGGGATGAGTGAATGAAATAGGGCCCTGAACTGTTAGCCTCCCAGGCTGTGAAGAGCCACCCTGCTGCCTCCTTCCTCCGCCAACAGTTCCTGGGCGGCTGTGTACCCTCTCAGAAGCATCTCCTGCTTCTTGGAGGGGATGGAGACGGCGCACAGTAGAAGAGGACCTCATTAGAGGCAATAGCTATGAAGCAATGCAAAGTGGTAGATTTCGACCTGAATTAATTGTATTTGGACAAGGTAGAGGGATAGAAGGTGGCATGAATTAATTGTACTGAGGTAAGCCTATGTGGGGACCACCTTTTCCATTAGAATCCTATGACAAAACTACATAGGGTCCCTCCACAAAATCCTGAGTATTCTGAGCAGAGACCTTTTCCCCACCCATCCATATCCAGTTTCAGAAATGCTTTGAGTCATACAGTGGGGGAACATCTTTTAAAAACAAGTTTCAAACTTAAAATATGGCATGATGTGCAACTGAAATGTGAAACACAGATTTTGTCAGTGTCACATATTTTAGTGACACATTAACAGGCTTGAAAGTTGAGAGGTATGTCTTCAGCTTTACTATATATCGGGCCTTTGCCCTGTTCCTTTTGAGGGACCCCTCTCATGTGTTAACTGCTTCTTCAGCAGGTCCAGACTGTGTGCTCTGGAAGTTATAGAGGAAGTTCCTCCTTTTCATCAGAAAAAGAGATTCTACTCTCAGTACTTCCTGATCCCCAAGTCCAAGGAAGGGGTGAGACCTATCCTCAGTCTCTGCGATCTCAACAATTCATGTTTATGAGATTGTGTGGTTATCCTGGCTACTTTTTCCCCCCATATTGAATCACAATGATGGGTTTGTTCTCGGTCTTCAGGACACCTATTTCCATGTAGCAATTTTCCCAGACCACAGGAAATGTATGAGCTTTTTTGTCGCCAGTCAACTCTATCAGTACACAGTTCTCACCTTTGGCCCATTGTCACCCTTGTGCATCTTTACCAAATGCATGACTGTTAACAGCAGCCTATCTCAGAAGAAGGGGAATTCATATCTTCCTGTACCTAGACGATTGGCTAGTGAAAGGCTTTTCTGAGGAACAAGTCCTCAGTTCACACTGGACCTCTTTGATTGATTGGGGTTGACTTTGACTCCAACTCAGAAATCGAGTTCCGTGGGGCCTACTACACTATGAATTTGAGGGCTTTTCTCCCACATGTGCGATTGCAAATAGTTCAGTTCGTTGTCTGGATCTCCAGTCTCATCTGACCATGGTCCGTGTATGCCTGAAGTTAGTTACGTGGTTCAACATGTGAAGTTGTCTTCATCCTCTTCAGTCATGGTTGAAGTTGGTCTGTCGTGAGCTGCCTGTCGTAGGGAAGACTTGTCTGAGGGCCTCCAGAGATACTGGACACTCTACAGTGGTGGGAAAAACAGAACAATGTGGACCAGGATATTATTCATTTTGCCCATCCTCTGCCAACCAGAACTGTAGTCACTGATGCTCCCCCACACATTGTGGACATCATCTAGGGATGTTAAAGGTTGAGTTTGTGGTCAGGGCAGAAAGCATCATGTTATATCAAAGTAGTGGAGTTTCAAGTCATTTACAGTGCCTTCCGGGATCCGATGAGGGAAGCAATGGTTCACATACTCACCAACAATACCATTGCAGTGTGTTATGTGAAGAAGCAGGGAGGAGCCTACTCCAACCAACTTTGTCAGGAAGCAATAAATTTTTGGCATTTCTGCATCAAGGAAGACGTGCCCACAGTAGCATGCTTACCGGGCTCTCAAAACCAGCTGACTGACCATCTCAGCGGGACTTTCTCCAGCAATCACGACTGGTCTCTAAAGAGCAGCATGGTGAGGCATCCCTTTGATCAACCTAGGTGCAACAAAGGACAACAAGAAGAGCCGTCAGTTTGGTTCCTGAGGGGACTTGGTGCAAGATCTCTAACCGATGCCTTCCATCTGTACTGGGGAATGCACCTGATGTATGCCTTTCTCCATACCCCTTTCATATTATCCTCAAACTGGAGTTGGACCAATTCATACTTTGTCTTGGCCAAGCCAGCACACTATGTTGATTCTCCAACTTTCTCAATTTGTCTGTTCAACCACCCAAATCTCTTCCTCTCCTTCTGACCTACTTCAGTACCATGGCTAGGTTGTTCATTTGGCACTGAGTAATCTACACCTCACGACATGGCCGGTACATGGCTAGAGGAGAAAGAAGGGTAATATTCAGAAGATCCTGCTTAATAGTAGAAAAGTATCTATTAGATCTACTTCTTTGGCTAAGTTGATGCATTTTTCGGTTTGGTTGATACCTAAGGGAATTCAGCCCATGTTGGCTCATGTTCAGGACATTTTGGACTATCCTTTACATTTAAAGTCCTTTGGGTCTGGCTCTTAGCTCATTCGAGGGTTCACTTGGCAGTTCCATCCTCCGTTCCAAGGAAAATTGCTTTTCTTAAACTTCATGGCAGTGAGATTTCTGAAAGGTATAGTCTCCCTGTTTCTTCCTGTGAAGGAAATGAACCCATTGTGGGACTCTAATACTGTGCTAGCCCCCTAATGGTTCCTCCATTTGACCTGATGACAACCTACTCATAGGCTATCTTTTGGGAGACGGGAGACACTCTTGTGGCTATAACATCTGCAAGAAATCCAGCAAATTACAAACCTCTCTATAGTCAGTTTTTCAAAGATAGTGTTCTTAAAACCACATCCAAAGTCTTGGCTAAGGTGATTTCATAGTTTCACCTTAATCAGGTTATTTATTTGACTATTTACTTTCCTAAGCTACACTCAAATGCAGACGAGCAGTATCTCTATATGTTAGAATGCCAAGCACCACTGCACATCTATCTGGAAAGCACTAAACCATTTACTTCACCACCTCAAATATTTTTTTGTCTCCTATGCGGATTGGATGAAAAGTCAGCCGATCTCCATGCCGATGGTTTTCAGACCATGGCTTTTGGAGTAGCTCAGGCTACACCCCACAGGCTCATTCGATGAGAGCCCAGGTGACATCGATCTCATTTTTCAGTCATGCTTCAATATTGGACATTTGTAGGGATGCTCAATGGTCTGCCGTGCATACTTTTACCAAACATTATGCTATTACCACATCATCTAGGTCAGATGCAAACTTTGCGACAGAAGTTCTGCAGTCATTGTTCACTGCCTAGTGAAACTGCTTGTGAGTCACCTGAGTGGAATATACATCTGCCACCATTTGAAGAAGAAAAACGTTTACTTGTATTGTAATTGCTGTTTTTCCGAGATGTGGGTGCAGATGTGTGTGCTACTCAGGTTGTGCATGCCTGGCGTACCAAAGCTGGAGTAGAATACATGTCTGCACCCAAATCTGAAACAGTTACAATACAGGTAAGTAAGTACCTGTCTTTTCCACATCCCTTCCTCCCTCCCTTCCTACCCCCCCCCCCAAAAAAAAAACGCTTGAATCCATGTTTACACACTCACCTTTGAGATCTAGAAAACTGATTCAGAAGCATGATCTGGCTTCCTGTAGTATGCCTCCTTGGGAGATCATGAAATGTTGTTTTCAGCTGGCAAAGGATGTCTCCTCTTTCTGCCAAGAAAATAACTTAACATTTGTTTATTGAAAGGGGAATAGTAGGAGATCCTAGCAATTCCTGCTGCATGCTATGGCACACCAATTACTTGGGGTGAACAGATCATCTCAGGTTTGGGTCTCAAAGCTGGTCTTTTTTTTTTGTTTTGATTTTTGGGTTTTTTTGGGGTGTGTGTGTGTGTGTGTTAGTTTGTGTTCTTCCTAGAAGGCATCAGATCTGCCTTATATCCAAGACAAGGTTTCACCCACATATAATACAGGTAGTAAATAGGGACTATTATTGAAGAAACAACTGTCTCTACAGCTTGAACCTTTGACACAACATGTTTTCTTCCTTTACCTTTGTCAAATAGACCTTTATTTGTAACTATCAGATTTCCTATTGAAACAAGGACTTTATAATTGCATGACCAAGTTTGGGTCAACACACTCTTCCATCCTTTACCAATAAATCAATAATACGAAATTATGATGGAAAAAGTTAGAAAATAGAGAATTGCAGTTGTCATAGCAATTTTAACTCTGTTCCTGTCTGTCACGTGGAATATTGTATACCAACCTGGTGTTAGCATTAAAGGATTAAGATATTAATTGAGGCATTGGAAAGAGTAACTGAACTTCCAGTCATGTGAAATCTGTTTTGATATTGTGACAACAATTTTGGGGACTTGGAAGTAGAGTGGGTGGTGAGTGTGAAAGAAAGTTGAAGCAAAGGTAAATTTATTTGATTCTGCACTGGCAATCACATTTGAATGCCTAGAAGAGCATGTATATGAAAGAGTGCACAGAATTGCACGTCTATTTGAAATTGTGCCTAAGAGCAGTGAGCACTCGAGTGGGCAAAAATTGAAAACCTAGGCACTAAAACCATCAAACTTCTTCCTGTAATTGTTTTGATGCCATAAGGTCATAGTTCATAACTAACTTTTTTTAAACTTAACAAAGCACACATTCTCTAGGAAGGATGGTATGTGCCAGGTCAAAACCAGTTTTGTTATCTGTGCATAAAAGGCAGAAAACATTGAAACTTTTTTTCCATTATCAAGTGGACTATTAATCTATTGGAATTTCTTCAGATAGCAATTTATCTCTAAGCTGAGGAGAAGCATGAAGTGCATGTATGTGCTCAAAACGTAACTTCGGGGAATTAAGTTATCAAAGTAAGGGTTTGGAATAACAGTATCTTCTTAGCCATCGCAGAGGTAGAATTAGCTTAGTGCTATATATGTAGTAGTAGTAGTAATGATTTAGCCCTATAAGGGTGTCCACCTGTCTGTACAAAATTTTACGTCTATCTGCCACAATCGTAGAAATGCTTATAAAGTTGTTAGTGTTGTTGAGGCAGTTTAAAACATTGTATATGAAAAACAGTCTTTAAGAAAACCAAAATATTAGTTAGTAAATATTAATGCAGAACTAGAATAATGTATTTTTGCAGGTACCTGTCTTGGGCCTTAGACACAAATCAAGAAGAACGAGACAAAGGTAAAACAGTAGAAGTGGGCCGTGCCTATTTTGAAACAGAGAAGAAACACTTCACAATCCTAGATGCCCCAGGGCATAAGAGCTTTGTTCCAAATATGATTGGCGGGGCTTCTCAAGCTGATCTGGCTGTGTTGGTAAGAAAAACAAATTGGACATCTACACGTAATGGTATTGCTACAAATAGCTAGATCAGAATTACATATATAAGAATATCTTGTCAGTTGTGGTCTCTGAAATTTTCAAATCTTAATGTAGCAATCTAGTAATATTTGTATGTAATTCAGTTCTGATAGGTACACAGTAACCCAGATTCTAATGTCAACACTGTTAAATGGTTTTGAGAGTTAGATTGTGATATGTTGTTTGTGTGTTCAGGGTTTATTGCATTATTGAATATAAGGCTGTAAATCATGTATTGTCCTTTGATTTAATTGCATAATAACTGAGAATAATTCTAATTCCTAAGTTTTTTTTTTTAAATACTTAACACTTTTTTAAAATTTAGGTTATTTCTGCAAGAAAAGGAGAGTTTGAAACTGGATTTGAAAAAGGGGGACAAACAAGAGAACATGCCATGTTAGCAAAAACAGCAGGTGTAAAACATTTAATAGTTCTTATTAATAAAATGGATGATCCAACTGTGAACTGGAGTAACGAAAGGTGAGTGTTTCTATGAAGTAAAAAATATTTTTAAATATTTTCATGTAATTAATTATAGCTGAACTACAAGCTACAGTAGTTTACAGTTAGTGCTGTTTTTTGCCAAAGCCTCATTTGATCCTTGGCTGGAAGGATGGTGGGCCTAAGAATACAAGCATAATCTGCAGAGCAGCTACTGGAAAGTAGATAATTATGTATTTTAACAGTTTGTTGTGTATGTATGTCTAACAAAGCCACAAGCTCTAATATCAATTGAGAGTTAGGAAAACTTTCCAAGTTGCAAGGAATTTAGAGCAAATCTCTCACTCACTCACTCACACTCTCTCTGTCTCTCTCTAACTCTGTCTCTCTTTAACTCTGTCTCACTCACTCACTCCTCTCCCTAGTTAGTTAGTTAAATACAGTTTGCCAGACTTTCATCTACTTCAAAAATAAATGGAATAACTCCAGTAACTAAGCTAAGAGGGCATTCAGCAAATTTATGTTAAACTTTCTTTCTTATCCCTCAGCTTGTTTTGGGGGGGGGGGGGCATTAAGCACACATTGCTAAAGTAGCTGCATGTGGCAAATTGATTGGCAAGTAACTTCCAGTAAACTTGATCAAATCCAGAATATTGATCTAATCAGCAAGTTTTCTTTTGAATTTTTATTGTAATACTAGATTTCAAATAGAAAAATAGAACTTTACTGGAATTTCTTAATTTAGCGTGATTGAGCTGCATGTCAATTTTTAATAGATATGAAGAATGTAAAGAGAAGCTGGTGCCATTTTTGAAGAAAGTTGGCTTCAATCCCAAAAAAGATATTCATTTTATGCCCTGCTCGGGACTGACTGGAGCAAACCTTAAAGAGCAATCGGATTTCTGTCCTTGGTACATGTAAGTAACTTAGTGTTGTTAACATGTTGGGGACATAGTAATAGTTCATTAATAGGCAGTACTACAGTACAGCTAGGTGGAAGTATAGGTTTGTATCTTGTAGTCAGATCCAATATGATTGACTAACGTATACGTGAGGGAAGACTGTCATTGCAAAGGCAATAGAAAACAATATGACCAAGAAATAAAGCAGAAGCATTTGAGCACTGTTGAAGAAATTCGCTACAAAAGCACTATTTCTGATGTATGTTGAGTTAGGT